CATTGCTCTCTTTATCTTCTACTTTTGAGGTATGGATTTTTTCAACCTTTGGTATGATTCTTAGCTTAGTTATTTGCTCTTTGAAAAATGTTAGTGATTTGGAGATTTTGGATTAAACCTAGGGTTTGATTTTGAAATATAAAAGAGGAATTTTTCAAATAAATTCTTGGAAAGGGTTGTGGAAGTATGTATATTGTTGGGTTGTGTTGGAAACTCCTATCTCAAATGTGATTTTGAAAATAAATGAGATTTTGTTGAAAAATCATTGATGTTGGTTTATAAAAGAAAATGAAATAGTGTTAGGTTTGAAAAGACATGGAAAAATGTATCTGCTGATGATGAGAGTGGAGTTGGATATTTATTATCGCTCCCATTTTGAAATTTATGAGATTTATCTATTGTTGAAAAATTATTTGTTGAGTAGAAATATCTGTTTTGGGCTATCGGTGGAGGATAGCTTTGATTGTTATAGAAATTGCATGAGGATTAGGTTAAATTGAAACTAATTACTTATACATTTTGCATCAAGCATTGTTTTATACTTGAACATTGAAAATGTATTGTTTTTGAGAAAAAAGAGTGTATACCTTAGTGAATCTGGTTAGGGGATGTAGTTATGGTTTATATTGTTGGCATATGTGTCGTTGGTGAAAGTCTAGAAATCTGCGCAGTTAAGTGTCGATCCTTTCGGTTAGTATGGGTAAAATGGCTTTAGTAGTGCTTGTATAGCCTAGTGATAGACGCATACCTGGAGATTCTCAGTGTTTTATATCTACTGCCCTGCTTTCTTATATGAAAGTGTATTTTTAGGAATTTAAATATATTGATAATGGTTTTTGCATTGTTTTGAGATAGAAAAGTATAATGTTTTGGCAAATGGCATGCATATACATTCACTTTATGACTTCGTTAAGTTTCACACATAGTGTTAAAGTATCTCTACTGGGGTTTGGCTCACCCTATGTAGAAACAACTTTCAGGTACTGATGATATGCCTCCACCAAGAACTTAGCTTAGGAGAACTGTGGAGCTGAAGGCTCATTTTTGTTTCTTTTGTTGTACAAGCCTCGGGCTTTTAATTGTTTTGGACTTGATCCATATTGTTGTAACCAAACAATGTCTTGGAAAGATGTAGCCATTAGAGCATAAACTTATTTGTAAAACCTTTTATTTCAGTTCACTCATATATGGCATATGCTATAGATTTAGGATTTAGGATTTATGAATGTGTACTCATATATGTCATATTTTGTACGGAAAAAGGAATATAAATGAAAGGTTAATATTTCACATATTTATGTTTAGTATTGGTTATTATGAGATGGGTTGTCGTTATTATTTTGGGGCATTACAGTCCAGAAACCCATGTGATTAGGTGCTAATCCTTCCGAATAGTACCGATAAAATGGCATTTGGTAGTGCTTGTATAGCCTATTTGCAAGTATGTACCTAGAGATTCCCAATGTGTATATTCACCGCCCTATTTCTGGTTTTGAAGGAATGATTTTAAATACATATAACTTGTGATTTAACCGTTGGCCTTGCATTGATTTTGAAATGGAAAAACACATGGTTTTGATAATGGCATTCCATATGCATTGACCATGTGGCTTGGTTAAGTATCATATTGATTGTTAAATTTATCTCTATTGGGCGTTAGCTCACCCTATATGGGAAAAACATTTCAAGTGCTGATGGATTGCCTCCGCCAAGAGGATAGCTTGGGAGGACGTTGGAGCTGAATGCTCATCTTTTGTGTTACATTTTTTGTATTATGCCTCGGCTTTTATGTATTGGGCTTAGGTCCCACTTTTGTCGTAACCAAGTATAGGCTTGGAAACTTATAGCCACTAAGGCATCAACTTATAATAGTTTAGATATTAATGCTTAACGCTTACATGCTATAGATTCAGGGTTTGTTATCAATGAATGTATTGTGCATATGGACCAATTGTATGATATCAGAATATTGTAAAGTGTACGGAGATCACAATATATATATATGTGTGTGTGTGTGTGTGCGTGGTCTTGATTTACTTCCACTTGTTGAATAGAATAATGTTCAATTTACGGATTGTTCGAATGTCTATGTTTTTGGGGCGTTACAACACGCGTAGGAGCTAGAAGACTTAGTGGACCAATAAAGAGCTATAAAAGGGGCAAGCTAATTGTTAGTAGTCAAAAAGGTTACTGAACTTGAAGATCAGTCAAGGAGGATGGGGCAAGTGAAAAGACCTAAGATTACCATATCTTGATAGTTGGAGTAGAAAACAAAGCCTTTTAGACACTATAAAACGACTTCAAGCATGACATTTGAGGAGGTCCAACACCAAACACTTAACCAAGAGTTCATTCATACACCATCTTAAAAGAATTTCAACCAAGTGTCTTTCACTTAAGCATTTCAATTCCAACAATTAGTTGTTTATCCAAATTAGTTTTAGATTAGTTAATTGTACTTCATTTTCCATTAATGCAAGTTCAATTCTAGTTTAGTTTTTTGCACCTAACAAATTTATTGAAAGTCCTTTTCATTGGTGTAAGATTCGAACCAATGGCGGTTCCTTTTAGCTACACACAATCCTAACCTTGTGTGAAGTCAAAATTTTCCAAAATATTCCTAAACCTTGAACCAAGTTCATAGGTTGTGCCATGCTTACAATCCAATCCTAGTAAACAAAGCCCACGTGTTCACCCATAATTTCTAAGTGGCAAACAGACAACGTGGCACAAAAATATTTATTATATATAACTCACACATCTGACACAAACCTAAATCTCACTATAATAATATATTTTTATGTTATGAGATTACTAACATGATATTTTTTAGAATAATACTATATGCACCAATTAGTATACTAATTAGTGTACCAATTGATGATGTGACATAATTTAAGAGGTTTTTAGTATTTGTAATTTGTGTAATGAGTGGGGTCAATAATAATGTCATAACTAGTGTTGGTAGGCTAGTTATATACTAATTAGTGCATATAGCATTACCGTATTTTTTTATCTAATTTTAAATAAAAATTAACTTTAAAAATAAATTCGAAAAAAATTGAAACATGATAATTTAAAGTGAAAAATATATTATGAAGATTATGATTTGTTGCTTTTTTAAAAACTTGCAGGGGTTTAAATGCTAAGGCAGTTGTCTCTTTCATAGCCCCTCATGGTCTTGGTTATCAACCAACTTAAATGCCTTCAAAATTTAAGCAACAACTTATGCTCACCTCACTCTATCCTTAATGATGCCATCCAACAAGCCTCTTATATTAAAAAACAGTTCCGATTGATAGCTTGAAAATAGGAAGGCTTGAGGCCCGAGTCCAAAACGGCGTCGTTTTGGATTTATTTTCTTTTTCTTTTTCTTTCTCATTTTTTTGAAGGTGAAGAAGAAGAAAAGACAAGAAAGAGAGAAAAGGGAGCTGGGGAACACACACACACACACACACAGAATCAACAACATCTTCATCAACACATCATCATCATCAACAAAAACATCTTCATCAACATCATCATCAACAACAACATCATCATCATCATCATCATCAAAAAAAAAAAAAATTCCTTCATCTTCAGATCCAGATTTACTAGAAAAAAAAAAGAAAAAAAAAGTAGAGAACAACTTAAATGCCTTCAAAATTTAAGCAACAACTTATGCTCACCTCACTCTATCCTTAATGATGCCATCCAACAAGCCTCTTATATTAAAAAACAGTTCCGATTGATAGCTTGAAAATAGGAAGGCTTGAGGCCCGAGTCCAAAACGGCGTCGTTTTGGATTTATTTTCTTTTTCTTTTTCTTTCTCATTTTTTTGAAGGTGAAGAAGAAGAAAAGACAAGAAAGAGAGAAAAGGGAGCTGGGGAACACACACACACACACACACAGAATCAACAACATCTTCATCAACACATCATCATCATCAACAAAAACATCTTCATCAACATCATCATCAACAACAACATCATCATCATCATCATCATCAAAAAAAAAAAATTTCCTTCATCTTCAGATCCAGATTTACTAGAAAAAAAAAAAAGAAAAAAAAAGTAGAGAAAACAGAGTCTCAAAGAGACGATCAATGATACCCACCGGCAGAGAGAGAGAGAGAGACACTGCAATCACCGTCGACCTTCCTTCTCTTCCTCCTCCGCCATCACCACTATCGCCTCTTCTCTTTTCCTCTTCTCTTTTCTCTTCTCTCTCTCTCTCTCTCTCTCTCTCTCTCTCTTCTTCTCTTCCCTCTGTCTATATTCGAAAGCAAGAAAAAGAAAAGAAAAAAAAAACCCAAAATGACGTCGTTTTGGGTATTTGAGCCACTTTCGAGCCAACTTTTCCGAGCTACGAAGTATTATTGATTAAAATATGTACGTTCACTTTTTAAATTTATTTTATGAATTTAATAATGTGTAAGTAAAAGAATTAATTGATAATTAAAAAATATATGAAAGAAAAAATTAGCACATGAGAGTGATTGATTGATTGAACATTGGGAGTGAAAAGTAAATCTAATTTTTGGGTGCAAACAACACTACACCTACTAATAGTAATAATAATTATCACAAAATGTGATAGCAAGAACAACAAATACTTTCATATATTTATTTATTGTTTGTTGGTAGTATTAGGACAACAACTATTTTAGGTTGAAAAAATGATTTACTAATAATGGAATAGAGATTTTCACCCATCCATAAAATGGAGAGAATGTGAATCTATACCATACTGCAATTTATCACCTGATTTTGTTCATCACCTATATGAAAGATATAACTTTCCTTTATCTGTTTCCTAAGTTTGTTGTTTGAAAACACAAAACCAAGCTTTAAATTAGAAAAAGGCTTTTTCAAAATAAAAAATAAAAGGAAGTGCTTTCTTTTTTTTTGGTACATCGGAATGTAAAAAATAAATAAATAATAAATAAATAAATAAAAATAGTGCTTTCAAGATGGCAAGATGCGAAACACTTGAAGACATGACAATGCCCTAGTAACTACCGATACACTTGGACAACAAACAAAAGAGCAGAAAAATGACCCATCACCTGAAAACCAATCTAAAACACCAACAAGATACAGAAAACCAAAAAGACCAATGAGACACCTGGACAGATTACAACAAGCCCCAAAACAACAAGAATTAAACAAGATGAAGTACTCCCCTGCATAACATCAAGATGATGAAGATGACGGCTTGGCTTGAGCAAAAATAAAATTTCAAAGAATATCACTTCTTTGTTTACACACTTTAAGAGTATGTGAATAAAAAAAATAATCTGATTGGTTTAAACTTGTGACCCATATTCAAAATGCGTATTAACTGTAATTAAAAATATAGGCTCTATTATTTTGTTCCAATAAAAATTTATATTTTGTTTACCTACTTAATAAAGGTGTATTGTAAAAAGAGGGTGAACAAAATCAGACTTCACCAAAATCGTTAGTTGTAAACCAAAAAAGTCATTTAGTTTGAAACTCTCAACAATAAATAAATAAATAGGAAAAACTGAAAATAAGTGGGAATAAATGAAATTCATTGTAAAAATATGGAGATATAAGTGATATTTGTGCTTTGGTACATGTTAGGACAAAATTTTTGCATGTATCAAAATACAAACTGCTTTACATGCTTTTACAATTATTTTCACTTATTCTATTCTCCCTAATAAACAATTCTCCCTTTTTTGATAAGCAAAAAAAGAAAAACTTTATTGATGAACAATATAGTAGTACAACAAAAAAGATAAAGGATAGATGCAAAAAGCATCATAGCGAAACAAATCGATCCTAACTAGGTTGGCACTGATAAGACCGCCCAATCATATGCTAGCACACCATCAAGAGTTGGTGAGAAACCAACCACAAACAAAAATAAATAAATAAATAAACAGCAGAAGACAAACAGCAATCCTCAATGAATCTCCTCTGATCTTCACAAACATTAATCCTCCATGAATCTCCTCTGCCACAGAAAACAAACAGCATTCATCACAAATAGCCAATCTTTATCACAAAAGTCACAAACAAACAAACAGAGAGAGCCTTCAACACAGATGATTGAGCAGAAGGCTGAACAGCAAAATAGAACAACAGAATAGATAGGTGAACAGCAGAGTAGTATAGTAGAATCAGCAAAGCAAAACATCAACAAAAGTAATTAATCCATCAAATGCACCTTCTGATCTGGTTCAAATTGGATACAAAGTCATGGATAGAGTAGGAATTCCCAATTGAATGGCATTTCAACCAGATTGCAACTCTAATCTTGATGAGCTCACAGAGCTCCATGAAGTTAGGATGAGCACTATTAAACACACAATCATTCCTAAGCTTCCAAATTGACCACGTAGCATCAAATGGGATGGCATTCCATAGTTGAAGTTCTTTCTTCCTAATTTTAGTGCCAGACCACCAAACAAATAAGTCCACCACAGAACCTGGGCATACCCAACATAAACCCCATCAATCTATGATGTTAGACCAAATTTGCCAAGTAAAGGGACAATGAAGCAATACATGATTAATGGTCTTAGGATTTGCTTTACAAAAAATACACTGAATGGCAACCTCCCCTCTAAGAATACCAATATTATGAAGGAATATAGATGTTTTGAAGAGTAAGGGATAGAAATGAGGATAAGACAACAACGAATCTACGGAACTGAGTCCAGATTATAGATATACAACAACAGGGAATACCGGGATCGCTATAACCTCTGTTGGACTGCAGCCAATAGAATAACTCACTAGATTTGAAGACACCTGGACTAGAACCTTTCCACCTCATGCTATCCTCTACCCCAGACCGTAACAGTGGCCCATTACCTAATAAGATTTGTAGGTTTTGGACTTCCTCCACTTCCCATGCCAACAAGGGCCTCCTAGAGGTTAAGTTCCAGTTGAAATAGTTAATTTTCCTATCCAAAAAGTCTTTAAGAGAGCCATCTTTATCAGAAGAAAGACTAAATAATCTAGGAAAATGAGATTGAAGACATTCACCACCTAGCCAAGTATTCTTCCAGAAAGAAATACTAGCCCCATTACCAACAACCAATTCTGAGTTAGCTAAGAAATAATTTAATAAAGCAGGGTTACCTGAAGCTAAACCCATAATGCCCTTCCAGATCCAGGAGCAATTAGTAATAGTACCTTGGGAGTGGAACCAACTACCAGATCTGGTGTTGTATTTACTGCATATCAATCTTCACCATGGGGCTTGTATTTCAGTACAGAACCTCCACCACCATTTACCAAGTAAACACTCATTGACTTGGCCCAAACTTCTAATGCCTAACCCTCCTTGATTTTTTGTCATTGAAACATCCTTCCAACTGACCAGATGAGCCTTTCTTTTGACATCTGAGTCTCTCCACAGAAAGGAAGCTTGAATTTTATCCACCTTTTTGATTACACACTTTGGCATTTTGAATAGAGAAAGATAGAAGATTGAGAGGCTTGATAAAACTGACTTGATGAGGGTGAGTCTTCCAGCGAATGATAATATTCTCTTTTTCCATCCAGAAAGTTTACCTTTAAATTTATCCAGAACAGGTTTCCAAGTTGTTTTCCATCTAGGATTAGCACCAACTAGAAGTCCAAGATACTTTAATGGCAGCTTCTGAGTGAGGTAGTTTAGTTTCAATGAGAAATCATTGACCAAAGTCTCAGAGACGCCAATTCCACAAACTACACTCTTATGGAAATTTATTTTCAGACTTAACCTAATTTCAAAACATCTAAGAATTCTCTTTAGAGTTGTGATTTCAAGCAAATCCACCTCACATAATAGGATAATATCATCCGCAAATTGTAGGTGAGTGAATTCCAACCCACTAGGTCCAACAACAGCCCCTCTAATTAAACCAAAACCCTTTGCTCTTGTTAATAACAGATTCAACCCCTCTGCTACAATGTTGAAGAGAAACGAAGAGAGTGGATCGCCCTGTCTGAGACCACTTTCTGGTTGAATTTCATCTGTAGGTGAACCATTAACAAGAATGGAAATACTTGCAGTTGATAGGCAAGATTTCATCCATCCTAGCCATTTGGAACCAAAACCAAACTTTACAAGCAAATCGAATAGAAATTCCTAATTCACCGCACCGAAAGCTTTTTCAAAATCAAGTTTGGTGATCATCCCTTGCTTGTTTGATTTTTTTTTTCCACCAATCTACAATCTCATTGGCAATAAGCACTTCATCTAGTATATTTCTACCTCCAAGGAATGCAGATTGAGCTTCACTCACAATGTTAGGCAGGACAAGCTTCAGCCTCTTTGTAAGGACTTTGGAAAGAATTTTATATATAGAGCTTGTCAAGCTAATAGGTCTTAAATCAAATAGGGGCACAGGGTTTTCTTTCTTGGGAATAAGACTCACAAATGAGCAATTGGGACCTCTAGCCAAAATGCCATTCTCATGAAACTCCTTCATAAAGTTCAAGATATCATGCTTCATAAATTTCCAACATTTTTGACAACAGGTGTGATATCCCTGTTCCGTAATATGTTAATTGGTCCTTAATATGAGTATGATTATGTGTTTGATATGGCTTTGTGTGCCATCATGTGAAAATATGTGGTTTTGAATTTCTATATGTTTACCGTAGGAATATCTGTTTGATTATCTGCTTTGGAAATTAAAATTGAAGGCCTTATCGACCACAGAACCCGAAATTGATTGCGTCATTGTGATTGACATAATTTTTAGAGCCTACAGTGAAGTTTAATTGAAAAATTATTTTGGACCAGATTAAATTGATTAAATTATTGAATTAGTGCTCAATTATTTATTCTTATTAAATTGAGTTAGTGGGAATTGTTGTAAAAGGGGGCACTACACCTCAATTCTCCTATTTTGTTGCATCTTGGCTGATTTTTAACTCTAAGAGTAGAGAGAGGGTCGGCTAGAGAGGGTAAGAGGAGAAGAATTGTGTTTGGCTCAAGTTTGTGGAGAATTGGAGGATCAAACCCAATATTTTGCTATAGATTGTAAGGATTAAGCTCCTAGGTGAGTAATCTTCCCTTGATTCATAAGTTTGGACTTGTGATTTTGTGTATTCAAGCTAGTTGGGTAATCAAGAGTGATTATTGACATAAATTGAGTTGATCATGTTGAATTGAAGGTCAATGTTTGCATGCATGTATGAAGTTGCCTTGAGTTTGCATATTTGAGCACCAAATGCATGATCTATGTGAGTTTTTAGTTGAAGATCATGTTCTTGACCATCTCTTCATCATATAAGTTGAGAATGAGAATAATATACCACATGCATGTGCAAATTATAAGGGTGTAAGTGTTGAATGCATGAAATTGTTATATTGGTAATGAGTTTGGTGGAAAATGAGCCATGCATATGTTCGAGTCATGAAATTGAGCTCCATGTTGATGTGTTTAGTGTTGGTACCATATTAGTACAAGTATATATGAAATTGGAGCCATAATATGCAAGAAATGTGGTTGAAATGTTGAATTTGAACTCGAGAAACCATTCTGGAAAACCCAGAAATTTGATGTCCGCTCGAGCGGGGAAACCGCCGCTCGAGCGTGAATTTCGTGCTCCCAGTATTTTCTACAGACCATGATGTCCGCTCGAGCGGGGAAGTCCACGCTCGAGCGAGGAGCTATGTAGGATAGACTTCAGCTCGAGTGCCCAAGTTCCACGCTCGAGCGTAAAAATGACATAACCAATACTTTTGCAGACCTCATGGGTCCGCTCGAGCGGGGAAGTCCATGCTCGAGCCAGGACCCTATTTTCTGAAATTTTGTTTATGCGTTTTGTGTTTCGTTTTCCGTTCTCCTTCACTTCTAAGTACTCTTAGGCATTCATTGAGCATTGTAATTGAGTTAAAGAGATAAGAATAAAGCCTAAAGAGGAAAATGTGAATTTAAGAACGGATTGAATTGTTGGTGACCCTTTTGTGTTCATGGACTGTGTAGGGTCGAGCTCCAGGGCAAACCAACCAACCGATCACTGTGAGTAATATCGATATTTGAAACTTGTCATTTGTCCAATTGCTTATTTCTTTATAAGCCTTATGAGTCTGCCAGTTTGAATTATAGACAAATGTTTGATATGAATGAAAGGATGGGCCAGAGGCCATTTTGACATGAATGGATTGGCCAAAGGCCGTTTTGACATGAATGGATGGGCCAGATGCTGTTTTGACATGAATGAATGGGCCAGAGGCCGTTTTGAAATGAATGGATGGGCCAGAGGCCGTTTTGACATGAATGGATGGGCCAGAGGCTGTTTTGACATAAATGAATGGGCCAGAGGCCGTTTTGACATGAATGGATGGGCCAGAGGCCGTTTTGACATGAATGAATGGGCTAGAGTCCGTTTTGACATAAATGAGTGGGCCAGAGGCCGTTTTGACAGGAATGAAAGATAAATGGGCCAAAGGCCGGTATGTTGAAGCCACAGTCACTTGACTTAAATTGTGTATATAAATGTTAAATAAAAATGTGAATTGGGCCCAAGGCCGTTCGGAGTATGTTGTTCTACATATCGTTTGTATCTTCTTATTTGATATTATTCACAAGGCTATCGCTCATGCTTATTCATGTGTTTGTAGGTGAGCCAAGAGAGGTCCAGACCCAGTCCCAGTGAAGTCTATGTGGAACAACCAAAGTTTTTGGGAGAGTCAGCCCTTGTGTCTCACGTACGAGACTCGTCTTCGCTTTTCTGTCATGCTATGTTATTTTTGTCGTGTTGGCGAGGACTCTGCATATGTCTGTATATAGTTTTCATGGATTGACTTAGTTTTTGAATGATCCTGTTTGTACAGAACTTATGCTACTGTATTTCTGTTGTGAGTTATTAATGTATATATGTATGGTCGTTTGGATGTGCCACGTAAGCACAGCTCTATGGACAAAGTTTTGAACTGCTTCCGTTTGGCCCCCATTAACTCTATTAAAATACATTTGTTTTGGTTTGAGGCCGTAGGTAATCTCATGATTACTGGCCGGTTATGTCCTTAACCCGTGGGGGCGGGTTCGGGTCATGACAACAGGATAGGTTAAAGCCATCAGGACATGGGGCTTTGTTTCCATCACAATCCTTAATGGCAGCCCAAACTTCATCTTCAGAGAAGGCCCTTTCCAACATGGTAGGTGCAAAATTAGGAGTGTTGATAGAGTTAAATTGCCCACCCAATTTAGGCCTACTTTTCCAATGCTCTGTGTAAAGTGAGTTGAAATGGTTCATAACTGCAGATTTAACTTTAGCAAGTTGCACCATTAAGATCTCATTAACCTCTATTGAATCAAATGAATTCTTCCTTTGTCTACTTGTGGCAGTAATATGAAAAAACCTGGTGTTCTTATCACCTTTCAATGACCAGTTGAGCCTAGATTTCTAAAGCCATAACCTTTCCTCTATCTTTCTCAACTTCCAAACTTCCTCCAATAACTCCATCCTTCTAGCAGATTCATTAGCTTAGAGAATTCTATCCTCAACTAACAAGTCTCAAGAGTGAAGTTCAGCTTCCCTCTGCTTGAGATTTTCATTGATGCTGCCAAATACCTCCTTATTCTAATTTTTCAAACACATTTTTAGAGCTTGCAGCTTCTTCTTCAGGATGTACCCTGTCCATCCCTCCAAAGATGTTTGTTCCCAATTTTGCTTGGCTATTTGAAAAAAATTGGTGTGCATAAGCCAAGAGTTGATGAACCTAAATGGTCCAGGTCTCCAATCTCTTCCATACTCCATAAGCAAAAGAGGGCAGTGATCAGATAAGGATTTAGGCAAACCCCAAAGTTTGAAACTAAAGGATTCAAGCCATTCTGGATTTAAAATAAACCTGTCAATTCTACTCCACCTATCAACATCCTTAGAACTGCCCCATGTATATCTTCTGCCCAGCATGGGTAAGTCTACCCCTTCATTTTTTTCAATAAAATCCCCAAAATCTCTCATCCCCACATCCTTCCTAACACAACCCTTCATTTCCCCTATAGTTTTGAATTCATTGAAATCACCCCCCAATGTACCAGGGGTAAGAGAAAGTGGGTCTAAGACTGACTAACAATTCTCAAAGTCGCCTCCTTTCCAGCACATCATTAGAGGTATAAACATTAACAATAATACAACTAAAGTTTGAAGAGGTGATACCTGAAAGCAAGATGAAATTCTTATTGCAGCAACACTGTGACATAGTGAAAGACTCTGGATTCCAGATACACAATAGCCACCGAACTTCCCTATTGCATTAACAACCATGAACTCCATTTGATCCCCAGTCCATAAAGATCTCACAAATCATTCTGAAATCTCAGATTTCTTTGTCTCTTGGATTAAAACAATATCTATTCTCCTTAGTCTAATTAGCTCCTTTAATTTCCTCCTTTTCTCAAGTTTTCCCAACCCTCTGATATTCCATGATAACATCTTCATTAATGAACAAAATAGAGCTCCCAACCACCTCGTCCTACAAATCAGGACTGTTTAGCAGCACCCAGCTGCTTCCTTCTCTCCAAATCTTGGTTTTCAAGCTCCATTATCTTCTCAATTACTTCAATCTCCTTCCCTAAAACAATAAATAAATAACTATAATCAAACAAAGTGGGAGATAGTTTGGGACCTTATGGAACTCATAACCACTTTCAAGTTGAAGATTTTTCTATATTATAGGTATTGTGTTGACAATTCTCTTTTGGGTTATACAGTTCCCTAACTTGTTTGAGGATTGTGAGGCGGTTCGTATACAAAGATTGCATGTTGTCATTCTTTTTTTCATGTCAAAATTTTTAAGCCATGCACTGCGACAAAATGCACATTTGGCGATCAAAATTAACGACTAAAAAAAATTTAGTCGCAAAAAGTTATAGAAATGGCGACGAAAAATTTTTTTAGTCGGCAAAAGTAAAATATTTAGCTACTAATTTTTTTAGTTGGGGTATATTGGTTATTGGCGACTAAAAAAAATTAGTTGCCAAAAAATGCCAGAATTGGCGATAAAAAAGAAATTTTAGTTGCTGTATATTGAGTTTTGGCTACTAAAACCATTTAGTCGCCGAATGAAAAATAAAATATTATTTTTTACCTTTGGTCGCCAAAAGTTTATTTCCAATGACAAAAAAGAATTTTAGTCGCCGTATATTGAGTTTTGGCTACTAAAACCATTTAGTCGCCGAATGAAAAATAAAATATTATTTTTTACCTTGGCGATCAAAATTTTAGTACCCCCAATTTATGTTCAGCCGACGAAAAAAAATTAGTCACCAAAAGAACTAAAATTACTGGAGGGAGATATTTATAAAAAGTTGGAAGGAAGTTTAGAAAACTTTCAGCGACAAAAACCTTTTGTCCCAAGGTGAATATATATATTTTGGTTTCCCACAACCAACAAACCATCTCTCTTCAGCGGTTCTCTCTCTGCCCTCTCCTCTCACACCGAACTGTCACTACCACGCCCGCTGGCCACCGTCCATCCCCACCGTCGGCACGTCGCCACCGCCACGCCGAAATCACCACCAAACGCCGCAAAAACAGTTGTCATTGTCGCGTTCGGTCCTCCTCCCCGTTGTCGAGCCTAGGTCTCTCTAGGTCGAGCCATTCCCTCCTCTCTGTTCTCTCTCTCTCTTTCCCCCTTCCCCTATTTCCCATTCTCACACTTCATCTAGGTTATATGATTTTTAGTTTAATTTTGTGTTGATTTCGATAATGGGTTTGGTTGAAGCGTTTTGATTTCTATGAAATTATGATATTCTTCATGTCGAATGATTTGATTTTGAAAATTATATTTATTAAGTTATAATATGCCCAATGAAAATGAGTGCCATCACTTCAGAAAGAAAAATTTGATTTTGTTTTTTTTCCAGTTAGTTGATCATCTATGCCTACTCATCGAATATCTTGCCAATCATTGTGTGTGTATGTGGGAGGGACAGTTTAACACCTATATTATTTTCAATTTTTAGTTGCAAACTGTTCTGTCTTTGTGTTTGTTAGTATAGAACTGTCTGTACACTATGTGTGTTTGATGATATGCCCATAAAAACGTATTTGGTTTAAGGTGGTGGCTAGGAGGCTTAATTTGATTTTCAGACTCTATACATGTATGGAAAATTTTTCTGAGAGAAGCTCTAAAAGTCTGAAGTTTTCGTGGCTTAGAAGTGCTTTGAAGTTTATGCATGAAGGTTTAATTTCATAATATTTTGGGAAAGAAAATGGGTTTTTATCATGTTGTTGAGGGTTTGCACGGTCTTTGACTGCCAACATCAGTAAGGCATGCCATGGCGCACAAGAGACCAATAGAACACTATAAGAGACCATGTCACTCTTCCGTATAAACCATGTCGATTATGTATATACTTCTCGATAATGTTACAAAATAATCTTACCTGGGGTACTTGTTGATTATGCAGATATTGCTGTCCCCTACAAATGCGATTGTGTAAGTGGGAGTATCTATTACGGTGAATTTTGTTCTCACGTCTGAAATATACCAAACAAGTTAAGAATTTTCTTTTACCGTCCTCTTAAACCTTCACAAAGACATTATCATGATTTTAATCTCTCTTCGCAGCCTTCGGTTTTTGCTACTAGCATTGATATGGGAACTACCGATTTCCCCGCCTGTTCATGTCTTCTGACTAAATAGCAATACCCTTGACATGATCGTGATCAATGTTTCCAAGTGTAAGGAAGCGCTTTTTTATAATGACACAATGAAAAAGAAGAAAGAAATAAAAATGAAATTTCGAAATTAAGCATGTTGGCTTGGCTTGTCTGTTTATCATTTTGAATGGCAGTTGGCACTAATTTTTTCCCGACATTAGGATGAGACTAAACGGGGATCTTTTTAAAGCAAAATAATGCATAGTGCTAGTTTGACTTGCTTTTACCTTGCTCCTGTACTAATAGGTTTTACACTGTTCATGTTATATAAGTTTTTTGTAAATATAAATATTTCAAAGTAACATAAACCAAACTGTAGTTTTTTAAAATCTAACTTGCCTGTGAAGTGATAATATCAATTTTAATTTTGGGGTGTAGGGGGCAAAATATCCCTGCTCAGCCAAAAACAAAAAAATTATTCTTATTTGTTAGTTAAAAAAATCACTTCCCATTGCAATTGAAAATTCTGTTTTACGATATACAAACTGTGATGCTTAGCCATCTGGGAAAAAATAAAAAATAAAAAAGAACTTGGTGTATAATGTGTACTAAAATATGTTTCTTTGTCTTTGTAAACAGGGACCATCATGACAATTTCAAAAGACAGGGTGAAGCCATCTCCGAAACCCGACAGTTGGAAGCTTAATGAAATATTTGCAACCGGTGTTGTCATTGGCACTTATCTTGCTTTAATTACTGTCTTGTTTTACTGGGTTGTAGGAAGCACTTCTTTCTTTGAGGTACCATAATCACAGAATTGTTTCTTTATTTTGTTTGTTAAGAAGTTCCGAGGAAAAATATAAAAATACAAATCTTGAATTTGTTTTATGTTTCTGAAATCAGGCTTATTAAATTACTGATTTGGTTGCAGAACCATTTTGGTGTGGAGTCTCTATCCAGTACTGAAGAAATTTCATCAGCTATGTATCTTCAAGTCAGCATTATCAGCCAAGCTCTTATATTTGTTACCCGCAGTCAAAGTTGGTCATTTATGGAGAGGCCTGGGATTCTCCTGATGTGTGCATTTGTTGTGGCTCAATTGGTAAGGTTTATTCAACTAGGAAAGACCCTCCAAACATTACATGGTCCTCTTTTTTCACATGTTTGACCTTTAATGTGTTTTTGTAATTATGCCAGATTAAAAACCTAATTATTTATTTTTTATACTAATATGTAAAGCAAAGGCTGGATTTGGTGTGGATGTCACAGCTTTTGTTTTTCGAAAATGCCCTCCTGTAATTACTGAATTGAACCATATCTACAGATCTGTAATTGCCAAACTCAAGCACACCCACACTTCTTGTTCAACTTAAGATTGGACTTGGCATATTGTTGGACCGACACTAATATAATGTCAAGGATGGACTTATATATGCCATGGGTTTTAAATATATATATATATATATATAATCTGAAAAAAGAAGGAACTAGGCAAGGTAAGCTAGATTTCATAAAGTTGTCATGGTTTTCTCTTCAAAGTCCTATTTAAAGAGTTAAAGCTTCCACAACATGTCTAATTTTTTTCTGCCTTTGTTGCTTATCTTATACTGTTAAAATTTGTTGTCAATTAGTGCTTTGAATGTCTCGATATTTTACACATAATTAAATCAATTGTTGTATACTTTCAGACAGTCGGAGACCCTTTGCCTCTTAGGATGGCTAATTTGATTTTTTTTTTTAATTAACAATATATAAGCAATAAATATGGTAACTAAAGCACAAGATATGTACGGGAGATTCACTAATCGATGTGAGACCGTTTAATATTGTGTTTAATTGATAAATGTAATTAAACCTTAAACCTTAAATAAATAAATAAAAAAAAAGAAAAAAAAAGGAGAGTTTTTCCACTAATCATTCTCAAATAAGAGTTTGCCGAATTAAAGTCTCAATCTCAGCCTCAATCCAAGTAAAAATCCAATGATGTATATGTAGAGACAACAAAAGTTACATGTTTTTATTCCTTTATCTATCAATAGTTGCCCACTTATCATACACACTCCATTCACGTTTGCATATGTAATGATTTGATTCCCAATTATTAACAAAGCTACACTCCACTCATTGTGATCTTTAACATCATCTCGAAGTCCTAATATTTGTTGCCATACAAATCATTGCCACCTAAGAAGCACGGACACGGACACGTGACACGACACGGACACGCCGACACGTTAATTTTAAAAAAATGCAGGACACGACACGTGAAAGACATGCATGAAATATATAATTTTATATATTTATTATATATTATATATATGAATATATCATTCAAAGATAATAAAAAATGCAATATAGCACTATTTCCTATAAATTTATATGGTTTTTGTTTTATTATTGTATCTTAAGTTGTTTTGTTCAAACTTATAATTAGTTTCACATATGTATAATCAATAGACACATGTGTTTAAACAATTGACACGTGTGTCCTCCAAGTGTCCAAAGAGCGTCCGGGTCTTTAAAAATATTTAAAAAATAGGACACGTTTTAAAGAGTATCGGACACGTGTCCTAAGAGTGTCCAAAGAGTGTCGGTGTCCGACACGGACACGACACGGATACGTCACCTTCTTAGAAGTGTCCGTGCTTCTTAGATTGCCACAATCATGTCCATTTTCATCAATTAGCCATCAATCACCACATCTTCTCTTTGGTTTGGCTTGCTCCACCCTTAATTTTTCTGTCTTCTTTTTCTCAATAGTTGGTTATATATTATGTGCCATATTGTTTTCTTTTTCTATTCTTTGCTGAACCAGCTTTGTTAGGATATGAGGAGGATGGGTTAATTTGATGGGCCTTGGTTATGGTTGCTAGGGGAGGGGTCAGGAAGAGTGTCTGGTTTTGTTTTGAAGGGTCCTTCATCCTTTACCTTTTTAGAGGAGAGAGTAGAAAACCTGAGTCCAGAGTTTCTTCAATAATTAATTACACAATGGTCCTTTCTGAAGTGAGACGAGTAGGGCATTTTTGGTTCAGCAAGTTGAGATTATCTGTTGTTCCACTAACTGTGTAGTTGCTCCATTTTCCTGTTGGTTGCTGTCATTTTAGGAAATCTTAATTTGCATTGTGAATCATGATGATTTTATGTTATTCTTTCTGTAGTTTTCCCATTTTGCATGGGTCCAAGCAGATAGAAAATCTGGGAGGCTTCGTGATCCAAAGTATCCATTGATTTCTTATTTTACCAAATCAATTTCAAAATCCTATGGTGTGTTGATTCCAGATCAGGTATGCTCTTTCTAATTTTTTTGCAATTGTTTGATCTTTCTTTCGTGACTTTGCCCTCACCTCATCCTACAGAATATATTTTTTTTCCATCTTTATCATAAGTCATTAGAAATAAGCTAAACTCTTTCAAGGTTAGTAAAGATAGAGGGGAGTTGAGGATTCATGAGAGTTTGGATGAGCTTAGGACAGATTTGGCAGACTATATTGTGGTTATGAGTTTGGATTAGCTTGGGACAGATTTGACAAACTCTTTCTGGAGTTTGATGGTTTTCTTTTCTGTGGTCTTATGAGTTTGGTTTGTATATATGGTTGGGACCATAAAACTATATGGAGCTCCTTATAACGACACTGATGATTGGGCAAAGTGGTACATATTTTGGGCAAACAAGAGTGGTGGCTAAGAATCATGCTGATAGCAATTATAAGCTAGCGAAGGATTGCCTTCTATTAGAGGTCTTTTTAGTCTCAATATATCCTCATTAGCTCAATTTATTCTTCTTTGACTGAATGAGCAATTTTAAGGCTCTATTTTTTATTTTTATTTTCCATTTTAATTTTAAAGATTGTCTTGGGCTGGGTTTAGGGAGCAATCTTTGTTTCACTGCTGCTGCTTTGTCTTGCATATCCGTGCTCATGAAATTGTGCATGTTCACTGGCAGTTGGTTCAGATCAAACTGCATCAGAAAAGTAGTATTCCTTTTTCTCCCCATGGCTTTATACTAAACCGAGTGAGACTAAGATGGTGAGTTATATGATTTAATAATTGTAGCTCTGTTTTTGACTTAACAATAACCTATGATGCCTCTGTTTTGTGTGGAGACCCTTAAACTATCACTTTGTGCCCTCAATTAGGGACAAATAATGTACATCAAAATTCGGAACATTGAGAAACAATTTCCGCTATAATGGAGTTCAAATGCTGAAAAATTTGACTCCGGTGCAAATAACTAGCATATTAGCATATATAATTAAGATGGCCAACGTATTCGCTTTATTTTTGCCTATGAATGATCCACAATTCTTAAATCATGTTTTCTAATTCAATATTTGACAATTTTGCTTGCCATTTCAATTCATAAAATAAAGTTTATAGAATTTAATGACAATGTGTCGTGTCTTTGTCTAACGATAGCACAATCACCATAGCTTTATTCCTAGCTAATAATGGTGCGACCCCCACGCGCTTTGCGCGTGGGGTGTCCAACTAGTTAATGAAAAAGTCCAGTCCAAGTATTGACAAAGAAAAAGCTCTTTATAATATCTTCCTAGCATGAGTATTTTTGTTAAATATTTTATCAAGCTCAAGTTCAATTGTTTTATCAAGCTCCCTCGATGGCACATGCAAGGTTACTTAATTATGTTAAATGTTTTATAATAATATCTTCCTAACATGAGTATTTTTGTTTCTCAAAATGACTTATTTTCGTATTGTAGGTATGGGACCTTGTTACTGGAAGATTTTTACAAACTTGAGATTTTCCACTACCAATTACTACAATAGTTGTTGATCCAACAGAGATGAAGTTATTTT